GTTCGTACGATTTGTAGAGAAACCTGTGCCGTAGAAAGGTCGCAGGCAATTTAGCAGTCTATCTAGACAGATTTATATATCTGTCATGAGATATCATCTGATTACGGTCCGCGGTTGTCGCAAGATGCTCGTGCCGGAAACCCGCGGTCCTCGCAAGACAAACGCAAAACATTTTTCCATGAGAACCTCTAGAAATCGTGAGTCTGCCGTACGACTGGCTTACGTCAGTCTTGAGACGTCCATAATTTGTCAAAAAATTGCAGAAATAATGTGCATGTTGAGAAATCAGTCTGCGACGTTGCGGCAAACTTGCGATCTTAAAGAATTCGTACGAATATGCACAAAATACAGGGATTTTTGTTTTGTCAAAATTCGTTCGTACGGCTGCCGTAGGGCTGATGTGATAGAGGCTTTAACGAATTCACGAGTTCAACAAAAAAATTCACAAATTCATGATTTCGACGTCATGAATTCACTATTTCAACTTCACAAATTTACGATTTAAACTTCACGAATTCACGGTTTCAATATACAGAATACATAAATTCACGATTTGACTTCATGAATTAAGATTTCAATTTTATGAATTCAAGATTTAGACTCAAGTTCACGCATTCGACTTCATGAATTCAAGATTTCAAGTTCTGCAGTTTTCCACCTCCCTTTCGTATGAATAACAAACTAAAGCTTGCATATAAGAGGTTGTTCTTTTTGTAAATAAGGAAACTTTAAATATTCTGTATTATTATTATACCTAACGTGAATTATATTTTCTATAGCCTTATGTGAACAAATAGAGACAGAGATCAACAAGTAGGAGACATTTCTGCTTTTCACCCTCAGTGGTTGTTATAATAATATATCATCCTTTTGAATAATGTTTTTGTAAGAAACAAGATCATTCAGCAGCTAAAACATTGTTTAAAAATAATGTATGTAATATCAGTGTATAAAAATGTTATCCTACCATACCCAATAAATAAATAGAAAACAACACCAAGAAAAAAATATTTAAAAAGATGCCCGAATTCTTTACACACTGTAAACAATTCTAGTCGTTGATTTTGACATTTGTAAAATACATTTATTGTGGAATATATATACTCTAACCACGTAATCGATTTTAGCATGAACTTGCTATCAATCAAATGCCAATTAAAAAATCTTGAGTGTAGACGGACAGTTACAATAAATTAATTTGAATGAATTCTATCCCCGGTTTTCACGATTTAATCAAACGGGTATAAACATACCGTTCTCAGTTTTAATGTATTTATCAGTAATATAAATATTTTTTATACTATTTTAAGTAACTTCGTGACACATGTTAATAGTTGTAAATATATAAAATAAAAACAATGTATTTTATTATTACACTCTGTATTTTCCATGTATTTCTTAAGCAAACGATCATTTTGTCTATCTCATCTAGTACCCTTCTGGGCAAAGTTGGGGGAACAAAACAATAATTTACCTGTCCATGACTGCACAATGTGGTATGAATGCAACTTTCAATGTTCGTCACATTTGAACAAGAGTAGCATTCCAAGGAGCCTGACATAAAAATGTTCAGTATGAAAATGCACATAAAATGTTCAGTATGAAAATGCACACCATGTGATTTTTGATATTAATTTTTATGATACATTATGTGATATATTTGGTTACATGTATGCCAGTTCTTATGCGTTCTTCAAAACAAAACATTAAAAACATTAAACATTAAAAATATTGAACTAAACCTTTGTTTTCATCTGCTATAGGATATGAATTTAATAAAAAAAATTATCATTTGTAAACTTGTTATGTTTACAAAAATACTTTTTATATATCTATAATTAAAACTTTAAAAGTATATATCTTATTTTGAAAATAACAATTACTTATGCTACGTGGAACCAACACCAACAGTACTAGTGTAAACATTCGCTTTGCTGAAATGAAATGTTTATTTCATTTTAATATGGTCATTGTTCTTTTCAAGACAGATTGCTAGAACTTAAACTACTTTTGAAACTTGTAGAAAATATTGTTTTTTTATTCTTAATAATTCTTATTCTCTATTATGGCATTGATCATTCCCGTTATTATTCTAAAATAATCAACTTACTGTTGTCCTATTTTCCTTATTTGAAGAAGAATCACTAGTTTCATATCAAACGTTTCAAACGGTCTGGCATTATGGGTCACGATTTATGCGATAAGGAATATCACACATTTATACCACTCATGATTCCCTTACGACAACAGCGAATTTTGAAATGTTTTAAAAACGTATTTGAATGTACTTCTTAATGTTTGATATCTTATTGTAATGTACAATCGATGTTATTATGATATATAAAGTAATTTTTGGGGGGAGGGGGGGGGGTATGATCGAACGTACAGAGGTGCGATACTTTCTTTAAGCGAGGTGAAATGGTGCTTAAAATAAAAATTACTTTAGATATCATAATAACATCGATTGTACATGAAAATAAGATATAGAAATCAAACATCACAAACAACAGTGAACAAGAATACAAGAGAGATAATATGTACAATGTTTATCAATTTATGATAGTTTGCAGTTCGAATGTAAAAAAATCTGATGCTACAACTACGACTGCTTTTCCCCATACCAGTTACTAATTTTCAATGCGTAGAAAACAGATATTGATCAGTCGATCACGAAAATGCATCGAAAGGGACCAAACTTTTTGCGTACAGTTAGTTTATTAGACCAGTTATCATGCGTAAAGTAAGAAATACGGAAATATTTAATAGATATATGCAGAATAGATAGTTTAAAATGTTTGTGTATTTTGTTTTGCTATTGATAGTAAACATGTTGTTGCTATAACTAATCAAATATCTGTTCCATAACATCTGTTACAATTGTATTCTTTTAAAAGGTATGTACGATTGCCGGTGCCATTTTGAAGTAGCAAATATCTTAATAACTTCCCCTTACAATGAAATAAATTCTTTTACTTTGACCATCATATACAAAATATATCTTCCACTAAGCATGTTCTATATTATTCGAACACCTTGCTTTAAAAGTATCGCGCCGCTATACGTCTGATCCCTTGTTAAGGGCACCAGGAAGGAATGAATATGATATGTTATGCTTTTCTCCTTTTTTGAAGAAAATATGCTTGCTTTCAAAGTTTTTTTGTGTAAGATAATTTTAAAGTGATTATTGAAACATTAAAATACGCATATCATGCACAATACTTTGACTTCCTCAAATTAATCATGGAAAACCCGTCGATCTAATATTAATCATGATCCTTCGGGCAAGAAATGTCAAAATTCAAGTTGCACGGTGTGCATTAATATCATAATAAATAAATGAATAATAAATGTATACAATGAATCACATTGTGTTAATATTTAGCATTACTTTCTGTACAATGCGAGAATTTAACGTTGCTATTTAAAAAATATTTTGATTTTAATATTGACTTAGTATACATGTACGATATTATCGTACACTAAGTAAAATGTCGTTTTTTCTACCGAGAAGTACAATTCAACTCAGTTCAGGGCTGGGAATCAAAACTGCGTCGTATCCTACAAAATGTAAACAAACGCCGCCATCTTGGAACGAAAAACGTATGTTTTTGCTTATAACTCTTTTTGTTGGAAATGACTGAAAACAAGATATATGTATTAACACGCTACACTATTTTCCGCTTCGTTCGGTATATGTTGCTTGCACAACTATTTTGTAAAATAAAAGTTATAGCGAACTTGCAACTCGAAGCGAGGCAGAATTTTTTTGAAAATGTGTGGATACGACGCAGTTCATATTGCTTTATCTATCGTTTTTCCTTCAAATCAATTATATATTTCTTCACCATAAACTTCGAAATATAATTTTGCATCATTTACTAAAATTCTAGAAAAAAGAGATGTTTATTTTCTAAGAAAATAATGATTTTTACGAAATGATACGACGCAGTTGAAAATAAAATATGATACGACGCAGTTGTATTTTTGGCAGTCTTTTCAACAGGGATAATTTTGGCAATATATTTCTATTTTATGGAATAATCACTTGCGCTAGATAAAAACCCAGATCATTTGCGGTGTAAAGCAATATACTGTTGATTATTTAGAATACAATGTGTCATGTCCAATATAACATTTGAAAGTTTACATTGCGGAAGTTTACATTGCGGAAGCTACTTTTCTGTTAAACATGAACATGTTACCTTATTGATCATAATATCTGAAATAATTTCTTATATTTTCCTTTATGTTCAATATTATCCCTATTTTTTTCGCAAAAAAAAAATGTAGAAATCTATTAACTTAAATTTATTTTGGCTAGCTACGCTCTATGTTAACTGTGGTTCTGCATGTTCTGGGTAATGACTGCTTTTTTGTGGTTACTTTTCAAACTTTCACTCTACACATTAGCTTTACTAGGGGCGAGGACCTCAGGTGCGCCTTTGTGCATTATTTCAGGCAAAATGTTGTACCTGCAGAGAACCGTCGACATTTTGAAACTTGCTTGATAGGTTTTCCACACAAAAGAATAAAAAAGTCCCTGGTGGTTTTCGAATTCATAGCAGTTCAGTTCAAGTGATTTGAATTCAGTAAACATAAACAGCTCGGCCTCGGTCGGACACACCTGTCTGATATGTTTTTTCAACAAAATTTGTTAACGTCAGCTGTACAAATAAGCAGCTTTTTTATTAACTTCTGACGTGAAGTTTTAAGATTATAAATATTTGAAATAATTATAAAGAGAATAAAATTTTAATTTCTTATTTCGGTATTAATAGCAGAGAAATTTTCAATGTAAACAGGGGGTTATCCTCTGTTAAGTCATTTTCTGAAAACTTTTGTTTAAGTTTTCAGGCAATTCATTATCAAATAAAAATCACACTTTAGTATGAAGGTATGTTAAGATGTCATGTCTCTAGTCTGTTGAAAATTCGATACGATAATCTGACATTTTCTGTTCAATATTGTGAAAGCTTAATAGTTCTTCAGTACTGTTGAAAGATCATGTCTGCCTATATTTGTATCAAATTTATCGGTGCATAGCGTAAAATACCTTTGCAAAACGGACACCTTTTTTACAAAATAATTTGTAGTTGTATCATATGTAACTCGATTTTGAAAAGTTTTTTGATGGAGAAGAATGATACTTACTTAACCCATTACCCCATGAGCATTTTGTGAAAAATGGCTGTTTTCATTGAAAAGTCTCCAGTTACAAGTTCAAGTTGCTATAAAACTATAAAAACTGCTTCAATACTAATCAAACTTGGCACAAATGTTGACTGGACCATTGCCTTTGTAACAACATACTCAGTCTGAAATTTCCTGTTACCATGGCAACTAGGGGACATCTCAAAATTGCAAAAAATCACTATATTGCGTTGATTTTTTCCATCAAAATTTATTTCAAAGTGCTGCCACTTCTCAATGGATTGAGATAGAGTCAAAGGCTTTTCAGCATTGGTTACACGTTACCGTATGATCGACCTGGGGCCATTTTTAGCCTCCCACAAGTCCAAAATTTTCTTGGGGCACATCCCCCTTCTGGCAACCCCCTGATGTATCTTTTGAATGGGGGGCCGCGCCGAAAAAGTGGTCAATTTTTTAAACAATATTTCTCAAACAAAAACAAGTGTTTGGGGGCCTAAATAAGTCATTTTTTTCACCATTTGAGAAAGCAAAAAGGGGGGGGGGTGAAAAAGGCGTAGAAAGGCGTATATATCTGGTAATGGGTTAAGTGCAAATATAGAAATTACATTCCGTAGACATTTCCTCATCGGCGATAAAGAAACGCAGGGGTAAAGTTCCGCGGCGCTGAACATAAAATGACTAAACAGAACGCATGACCTACTTGCAAAAATATATTGTAGCTTAACCATTTATAATATTATTTTAAAAATTTAATGTTCAGTTTCAAATAATAAAGCTCATCTGTCCTCGTCGATTATTAAGAAAATGAATACAATAAAATTGGCACGTAAAAGACAAAAGTAATAACGGAATTGACGGAAATTATTGCTCATTACAAGTAACAACGGTAGGCATGCCATTTGCGCATTCCCGATAGCGAGAGACCTTTTCAAAATTTGTATTTTTTTCTCTTTTTTTTTAAGAAAAAAGTCATTCCTGATTAATACAGGGTCCAGTGGAGGTTACACTGGAATATTGAATTTTGTATCAAAAATAGTAATCACTCCCATTTCGAACTCACGTGAACAAGTTTATAAGCATGCTAAGGCAACAGTAGAACACGTTGTCATATGGGTGTGCGATCACGTGTTTCAATGTATATTGCATTTGATACAGCTTTTCGGAATTTGTAGATGCTTATGAATAGTACTAAAATGCGACCGAAAAATGCAGCCTTAATAGAATTGTATTACATTTCCATTTTTATGAAACCAATGAGTGACCTATGCTTTTGACTTAAGTTGTAAACAAGAAATGTTGTAGGATGTTATTGGCATACCTTATTAGCACATAATTTAAATAGTTTAACCAATATTCAGCCTGCAATGAAAATACAACTGCGTCGTATCATATTATATTTTCAACTGCGTCAACTGCGTCGTATCATTTCGTAAAAATCATTATTTTCTTGGAAAATAAACATCTTTTTTAAATGAAAGTTTAGTAAATGATGCAAAATTGTGTTTTGACGTTTATGGTGAACTCTGAAAACGAGTATATAATTGATTTGAAGGAAAAACGATAGATAAAGCAATATGAACTGCGACGTATCCACACATTTTCATAAAAATTCTGCCCCGCTTCGAGTTGGAAGTTCGCTATAACTTTTGTTTTACAAAATAGTTGTGCAAGCAACATATACCGAACGAAGCGGAAAATAGTGTAGCGTGTTAATACATATATCTTGTTTTCAGTCATTTTCAACAAAAAGAGTTATAAACAAAAACATACATTTTTCGCTCCAAGATGGCGGCGTTTGTTTACATTTTGTAGGATACGACGCAGTTTTGATCCCCAGTCCTGTCAGTTATCTTTTTTTAAATTTAAAGATCCTGTAACACATTTTTTTCATGGTTTTATTTCATAAATATGATGCTCAAATTAAGATTTGTTAATATTGTAAGTTCCAATAAGCATTATTTTAAGATATTACCGAATTTAACATTTCATGTAAATAAAGGGAGATAATTAGAAATTCATTTTCTATAAATTCTAAGTCAAATTTTCCAATAAGAAATGAATGCGTATAATTTATTGATTAAATA